TGCAGAACGAGTGTCGCTTTATGAGACTTCGTTACTTTATCGATGCCATTAATTGCGAGTTTACAAGCCCGTCGTTAATCACCGTGTTACTTTTAACCTCTTTAACCCCGATTACCATAACCGTTCGTTATTTTCGGCGCAATTTTCAAGGCATTAGCCATCGTTCGCAAAAGGAAACGCCCATTAACGTCGTAAACGTAATCGGCCAATTTTATCGACAGCTCCTAAATTAGATTCGTATTGTGTTTATCGCGAAATAACCTAACTACGAGCATTGTTAACGTTACCACGCTAAATAACATAATTAACGAATAACCAAATATTTACTGAACTCTTTAACCATTTAGATTCATTAAAATGTTTTAAAGAAAAAGTAGTTTTCGGTTTTAAAAATTGTTCGATGATCTTTTTGCAGAAATCTATTAGTTCTATAAATTTCAAATGTTGCGTTATTTGTGCTTTAACAGACCACAGACATTTCGTCAAGCATAAATGATCGATTTTGTCGAAGTTACAGATCGTCGCGCATGGCGTGTAAAAAAGATTTGTGTTCACGGTTGACATGATAATTCGGGTTCTGGTCATCAGAAACCAGAGATAGGCAAATTCGAGATAAAAGCAGGAACGAATGAAAAATGAATAAATGTTCGTCACTTCGTTAAATAAATATTAAGCACCGTGCAAAATAGTTTGTTCTACGTTTTCGACTTCTTTTGAATCTCAGAATCGGTTCATTATTGCTTTTATTATTGATTTATCCACGGGCTGAATTTTCCCACAAGTAGCATGCATTTGAAAATTCGTTTTGTTTTTAGAAATAAAGCAGGTTACAGCCACTTTTGGACGAGACGGGACTCTAAATTAAACTGGTTTCTGCGGATTAAAATCCGCTTCCCTTAAGCCTGTAATCCAGCACGGAGGCTCGCGATTCTATTATACATTCGTTCCTCAAAAGAGTCACGAATGGCATCGTGTCCCATATCATTCGGACTAAAAGGACCAACATGGACTTAAAGGTCTATTTTATCAAGTGTGTCGCGTCTTTTTCAAAGCACACTCGTGCATAAAGGCTCTACACCGTCTCGAATGTGGTACGTACGACGCTGTACACGGTCGACGAAACGAGAGATAAATTTCTTGATGAAAGGAATACATTTCTTAGATTTACATCTGGCAATAAAAAAAAGTTACAAGAATTTCCCCCTTGGAACGACCGTCGTATCGAATATTTTAGGAACATGCTTCAAGCAATTTTTCACAACGATTTAATCCGGTTTGGATCTTCCTTGAGCCCTTTAACGAGCCTCGTCGTTCTCGCCCAACTCTTTAATCACTTCGTCTCTTCTAATTAAGCCTAACGCCTTCCTGCAAAGTTTTGCGCAACGGGTCGACATCCACCGAAGGATATCGATGGCTGGAAACGTCCGGGGGGTAAAAATAGTTCGGATCCAGGTCTCGTAATTGTAATCCGTTGGCCGGAAGTGCGCGCAGTTTCTGGAAACGAGGTGTCTCGACGACTCCGACAAGCATAATGGCCGTCTACTAACCATAATCTCGTCGAACCGTAATTTACAGACGGATTTCCCGATTGGAGAATCTATAACGTAACAGTTAGGCGACCGTGGGCGCAGTTATGAAACTTACATTGGCTGCGGTTCACCGTCGCTCCTTATATCACATTCAGTGCCTACGCTCCAGATTATTCGGTTGAATTGCGGCTGGCTGCACGAGCCGATCGATTATTTATCCGCGCGATCGATACACCCGCACATTCGATGGATATTCCACGCCCGTGCATTCCCTCGTTATCTTCGTTACTATTGACGGTTTCCGTTCAACTCGATCCGCGAATAACGCGCTTGAAAAATTAAACCTATCGAAGCACCAAAATACGTTCCGGTATAAAACAGGAAATTCAGGTTTTACGTTTGTTGGGATAGGTTGTTGTAGGAACTACACTTCTTGTGGGGTGACAAATCTTTCTTTATTTTCCGTTGTTCTCGGATAGAGCGCGCAAAACCAAGTGTGTTCTTCTTCGCTCGTCTCCATGTCGACCCCTCGGTTGCACTGGCAAAATTGTTAAACAACCCTGATTGGTTAACCCCACGCGTTGGGCCTTTCCAATCAGGGCCGTTTATTTTTCCCAAATCACCGCCTATTTCTTACGCCCACGGCGTGCTTGTTTTCGAAACGGCGTGGTGATTGAGGGGGACGACGTTGCGCCCTCACTGCAAGATTTCCTTCGGACCACCCGCGCTGGGCCCACTTGGCGAAACTCCGATGGGTACGCGTCGAGTGTCCTCTGGAAATCCCTAATTTACGACGGTCTCTATTTGCTGTTGAGGGACTTAGGAAAAGAATTTACTAAACGCATTCGATACGCGAGTCTGGAAAATATCTTCCTCAAAAACAGCTTCGACGAACGAGAGTCGTAAATTACGTGGGCCGTTTGCACGAGAGAAAAACTTTCCCATGTGCGCACGACCGGTCGCTACACGTTATGTATTACCTTTTAAAGGGGGAGTCTCATGTAAATGATAGAAAATTGAACCATTTTTCTTAATTTTTTTTAAAGAAATGTTACATCTGACGTTATGATTTTTTTTTGCAGTTTACTTAGCTATCCTTTGGGAATACAAAATAATTTTTGTATTAATTTTTATTAACTTTTAATGTTGTTATCACGTCCGCAGTAAACATGTGGTTAAAAAACCAGTGGCGCAGGTGATCGCAGCTTTCAAGGTTGACTAAATCAAAAAAATCAAAAAGATTTTCATTCGGTAGGCTTACAGTTATCGCCTGTATCAAAATAATTAATTTATGTTGCAAATTGACAAAATGGTGAAAGCTGAAAGTAAAAATTGCAAAATTTCGTCGTTTCTTTTGCAATTTTTTAATAAAAAAGATATGATAAACTCATTATAATAATTTGATTTTGCGGAACAACGTGTAAAAATTTCAAAGCAATCGAACGTATAGTTTTTGAGATTTTATCTACGTCAGTTAAGAAAGTAACGTTCCGAGAGAAACGCATTTAAATTCTGCAAGATCATACCCATCAATCTCAGCTCCATATAGAATTCCTTCCAGAGTATTGCCACCTAGATGACAAAAACGCTCAAATTTCAACTTTTAATAACAGCAGATGTATCTTGACCCTGTCGTAAATCTTTCGAAACAGTAATGTCTGGGCTGTACATGGTAATCACCCTGTGGCGTTGCCTCCCATGCTCTCCACCAGAGGGGTCGCGCTCTCACAAGCGCTCGACCGACCCCTTGGTTGCTATACATTCCTCGAACGACTTTCCAATATCCCAGTCGTCTAAGGCAGGGCCTGCCAGAAAGCCTTACTGATGAGTCCACTAGCAGGCCCGGACGAAACGCGCCCCCTCCTTACCTTTTCTGTCCTCCTACGAATTTTCCGAGTTCCTAACCGCAGCGAAGCAGCGCCACAACCCGAAGCAATGACTCCGGTAATTACAACGAGAGCTATACAAAAAATGTTCTACAATCCACAATACTTGACATTTATCTCTCAAAATTTAATAGTAGAAACAAAAGAAAAATTGATATTTTTGAGATCTCACATGAGACTCCCCCCTTAATAGGGGGTTTAAAACTGTCCTCTGAAGCTTTTATCCTCCGAAAAGGTATTTGAAAAAATATCTGGTTTTTGTAAAACAGTAATTTCGTCCCTGCGTAGCAACGAAGAAACACGAATCGCGCTTTGTTTGGATTAAATTTAAATTGGGTAAATTGAAATTGGACCCCCCCGGTATATGAAAAAGTACCGTCCGTTGGCATTTCTTTCAACGACCGTAGCTGCCCTCGCAGATTGTAACAAAAGCCTCGAAAACTCGGCCCTCTATTTACTCAAGGATCGCTTACACGATTTTGCACTCGGGCCGTTAATTGCCCCTATTCGCATCAGCATAGGCAACCGTATTTTCCCTATTTCAATTGTCCGGCACATAGTCTTGTTTAACGCATTTATCCTCTATGGAATAATCGCGGAAACTCGCCGATATTTTGTCCCTCGTTAATCGCGATTATCGTTTTGGCATGTTCATTTGCGATGGAATTACACGATCGTGAACGTTCGAGTCTAATTGATTGAATTACGATAGCGGCGTTCAACTTAAATCCATGTATCGTATGTCGTCGCCATTCGTGTCTGTACATACGGCTGACAACCAATTCCGGATAATCCCTCGTTGCGTATTAAATTCCATTTCCATCGCCAGATTTATCCCTTTTATTAAATTCTTTAAACGTCCAGCGATTACGACAAACGCAGCCCGTCATATGGATTTAAGCTGAAAATGTTCTATGTTGCTGGTATCGATTAGTCTCACACGTTGTATTGTACTATAATAAATATATACGTATATCGAATAGAATTTTCTTAATACAGATGAATCAAGCAGATTCAATTACACGCGTCATATTAGACGTGAAACAGCTGTCGATAGAATTTCCTTCGGGACTCCATAACTTCGCACTTTAAAAGACGGAACTGCTGACACTTACAGATGTATCAAGATTGTGCTCGAAATATAAATGCATACGATTCGCATACACTGCCATGGGAACGCACAATAGGGACCTCCGATACTAAGCACAATTGCGAGAGATTCGCAAACATCGACGGCTGTAAGCGAGGGAGACTCAATAGGGACCCTCGATACAGTAAATAATTCGCTCGACAAGCTTCACTGCGGCAAAGTTTCTGCAAACTCGACGTCGAACGGACCTCTCTTAATTTCTTTTCCAAAGAACCGTTTCTTCGGTGGACGGGCAATTTTTCGAGCACAATGCTAGGAACTCCTGATTCTATAATGTGACGCTCGACAATGGGAAACCGATTGTCGTTGAACGTATCGCCAGGCCGAAAATTCGATTTTTCTCCTAAATAAAAAATAATAAATCGCAAAACAGGTGGGAGAGAATGACAGTAAACAGATGGTAACGAAGGATAGAAAATTTATTCAATTCGCTGTACAAAAATATTTATACACTGGAGATTTACAAAACAAATGGTCGATTATTCGATTAAACTAATGTCCTCCGTGTGTAACGAGTCTTAATAATTAGGAGACGAACGCGGGTCGTCGGAAGATGCAATTTTAACAAGTGAAATATGGCCGGTTAATGTGTACTTAATGTTACCCGCCAGGTACTTAGAGGCACTTGGAATACGCGGACGGCTAGACAGTGATTATTTCTCCTCACTTGCTAGCAATTGGTGGAGATTCATAACCGCTGGTGTGGCGCTAGAGAGGGAACGAGAGTTGGCTACAGGTGGTCCCGGGCAAATCAATATAGTTGGCGTGTCTCGGTGAATACGTGAGCGGCCTCGATGTACCTCGCAACACGCAGCCTCTGATCCCACCCATGATGATGATATTGCACGGTGTAAGCACCTTACTCGTCCTACATACCGTACACCTCGCTGAATTCCACGTGTTTATTGTAATTAAAAAATTCAAATGGTAATCCGGCTGCACTCGCGAAACGAGATGGAATAGAATACCCAAACACGTAAGCTTCGCGTTGCGCGGTAATTCGAGAGCGCCGTACCTGCGGCCGCAACCAAAAACTGGGATTCCCTATTCACGGGCTAATTGAAAATTGAACGTGATAAATAATAAGCAACGGCGTTGTTAACGTTTGCACGACGCACGCGTGTACCTGGCCAAAGTTCCAGGTAAGGGACATATTGACAAAAGTCCGTGCTTCGCCACTCGCGGTGCTCGCTATGCTCTTACGTTACGAAAAGTTTCAACACGTAAAAGTAAAGTTATAAACGCGTATTTTACGACACCATCCATGCTCGTAAACAAAAGAAATAAATGTATAAATTGTATTTATTATCGATATTTTCGAAAGTGAACATTTTTACGACGAAGCGTTACTGGCTAAGGAATCGCCCTTCGTGGAATGTATAATTCTGACAGAGCGATCCAAATTTGGGCGTGTAGAAAAATTGATCAACATTTCATCGAGGAAGAAAACATATAGTTGATTTTAATATATATTACTAATCTAAAAATAATCGTTTCCGTTCAAGCCTCGAACCTTGAATCGCTTTGTAAGAATCAGCGTTGAAAAAGAAAATAAACAATATTAAATAGAGCAACGAACATATATATGTATATGTATCTAATCGAAATGAATAACTTCAAACGTATAAAGAAATAATATTCTCTGCAGAAACAAATATACTCTTTGTTATCAAATTTGGGTAAACCTTGAACAACGATAATCCACAGGCCCGCTGCATGTTTGCAATATCACATTATAGTTATATTTGGTCAACTTGTTTGATTCGCGAGATCGTCCGAGTCCACGTCAGAATCTTTTTATTCGACGAGGAATTCTGGAAAATTTAAAGCTAGAACTTCCTGTCGCTCCAACTCCTGCAGGTACGGATACAAGGATATCAGTTTGTACTGACTGATACACTCCACTACCCAATCGTGGGCAACTGGCACAGCACGAGCCTTCTTGTACCAGCCTGCTAAAGTACAAACATATCGACGTTAACAATGTAAAGAGTTTATTTCGAGATCTTATTTTGCATAAGATTGCCATTTTATGTGGGAATTGGAGATATTGTTACACTGGTTCAAACAACTTTTCAAACTTTCGTTCTTCATTCATTCAACACATTCATCAGACGATCACGCAAATTGCACTTTTGCTATAATAGCAGTTTCTGCTGCATCCAAATATTATTTTTAACGAATATAATTTTCCTTTGCAAGCACAGTTTCAAACAGGGGCTGATAAATCTTTGTACGATACGCTCGGTTAATTATATGTGAAATAATAAGCTCACCAATGATTTCGTAGTTGTAAAAATTGGCTTGGACCACGATGACTTTCAACCTCCTCTTTTCAACGGCTAGGGCTTTCACGGTTTCGACCACAGTGGCACCAATAGCACGTAGCAACTCCTAAAAAAGAACGTATTCTTAAGCCGAGAAACTTGGCATGGATTCAACTGTAAATAGCATAGCAAGATTGGATAGCAGGAAAATGTAAATAAATGCTTTCCTTGGACTTGGTAATATATACGGCGAACAGACTTTCATTACAAACTGCACGACTTTTGGCTTGCAACATGTGAGACGCGTGCTCGGGAACAGATTTGTAATGTACCGTGACGCTTACAACGAATCTTTTTACAACGGACCAACGTCCAACTCTTGTTCTCCGGTCGAGGCGGAAACAATCCATTATGAAAAGGATTTCTACTCGTCTTTGCAATCTTATACTCGAATAACTTTAGTTTATAATACTTAATATTCGTGAATAACAGTCATTGAGAATATTACAAGATAACAGGCGCATGAACGATGAGTTTTATCATTTCAAAAGCTAGGAAATATTTTTCACCTGGTACTGTTCGACGGAGACGTCCACGTAGGGTCCGATGAAGAGGAACACGAAATCTTCGAATAAATTATTGTTTTGCCTTAACCGCGACTTTCGAGGACCAGCCTCGAGAGCCCTTCTGTCCACCGCCTCGTAGGGTTCCTCGTTTATTAATTTCTTTTCTTTCAGGCAATCGGTGACCCACTGGTCCACGACGATCCATTTCCTGTGAGCGATTCCTTGCAAGTACTTGAGTGTTTTACTCGCCCCGTTATTCTCCTTGTCAGCTTTCACGATAACGTGCGTCACATCGGGATCGAATTGAGTCACGTATCGCGCGTTCACGATACTTGCCAGCCTCTTCACGTGTTCAATTTGAGCCTGTCCCAGACCGCTGCAAACGAAACGCAACCTTTGCCTGGCAAAGCTCTGTACGGTGTTTCCCGACACGTTCGTCGTTCGTTTATCGTTCGTACACGCCGCTGGCTTGAATCCCTTATCTTCCGTGTGCTTCGTGCCGGCCTCGAAATTATTCTTCCTGCTCGTCTGCGCTATCGGTGTGCTCTCGCAAAGAGGATGGATCCTCCTCTTGCAAAGCGGTGCGCTTCTCCTCGAATTCGTTCCAACAACCGTCGACGGAGTCCTCGCAAACTGTTTCACGCCGACCCTCGATATCGGCGATATGCTCGAACTACTTTTCGTCGTCGCGCTGGTCGATTGGACGCTGCTTTCGATTATTATTAAAGGGAACAAGCATTATTTTGGCGCGAGACGATATAAAGAAATTCTTTTCTTTATTTAGTCTTTTGGATTTTCCGTGTGTCGATTAACGAAGAGAGTTTTTATCGAGAAAAATGAGAGATTAGAATGAATGTGTTAGTAAAGGTGAGTAAAATCTGGTGGCTACGGTGCAGTTAATGAGATAGAAGATGATTAACGAGGAATTACTATATTTTACATATTACAATTTGAACGTGGCTGACAATACAGGGGAAATACGCGAATGGATAATTACTCGTGCTCGAGAATGACGCAGAGAGTAAAGCAGTGACAAAAGTCTCACGTTACTTACGCCTTCGTCTTGTCGTCAGGAGTGTTCTTGACAATGTCGTCTTCTTCGGCCGAGTGTTCGGCGTCCTGGATATTTCAAAGTGGAGTAAGTCTTTGAGAATGACGAACAAGGGGTCTTGTTTATCTCGTGAGCGGCGAAATGGATAGTCGCGTCGAATAATAAATGCGCGACGGACTAATACCAGCAAATAAATGACATTCTTAATCGAATTAAAAAGAAAATCGAACATTCGAGGGTCGAAAGAAAATTCGGTCGTATCGGTTTCACCATGTTTGATACGCAAATGTAAGAGTTTCCTTGAGAATGTTACGTTTATTTCAAAAACGACTGAAACCGTGCAAGCTGAGATCTAAATAAAAATTTTATTATAAATGAAAGTTGCAGCCCGATTGAACTTAGAGCACACTGAACACGGTTATTGCTTACGCGGGGCTGGCTATTTGGAAACTTCTGCGCACTGCTCGCATCAATGATTCGTATCCCGCCTGAAACTGCGGGGTTTCCGACTAAAAGTGACCGCAGTAGTCGATACTTCGTCAACTATAACGCGGTTAGCAGAGGTTCACTGAAAGGAGTAGCTGATACACGCTAGTACGAAGCGATGAATCAAAAATACTTTCGAAGCGATTCGAATAACTTCGGGATCGAACTGAAATGTTAAATTTCCGTCGCTAAACTTATTCAATATAAATTATGTTTAATTGAACAATCATTAGAAAGTCTAAAATTATCCTTGCAACATATTATAAATTAATTTATTTTGTTAAATTTACTAAGCGTTAATGTTTGACTATGTAAAATTCACATCTGTAGTTCCTTACATCTTTCTACTAAAGGATTTAATCCTGTTAATAAATGAATAATAATAATAAATTAAAATTAATCTGTGTGGTGAATCTAGGAGGGAGGAATCTTAGATGGTAGTACTTTCTTTTCTAATGCTAATTTTAGGCCTGTAAAACCCATAGACTCTTAAGGAACCAATCACCAATGAAAAAAAAATAACAAACCGTTCGTTTCGTATCGGAGAGTCCAGTTATCGCATTTTTGGACGAACTTCTTTGTTCCCTCGTCTCTTTCTTCGTATCAAGTTGCGGCTTGGGATTCGTCGATTTGCCAAACAGATCCTCCTCGAATTGCTTAATTTGCAAATAATGTTGCGTAACGTCCACAAGAGAATCATGCTTGTAACTCGTCGCTTCCATGTTTGCGTTCTCAGCCGCTTTGTCATTGTCGGTTAACGGATCGCTCGCCGACTTATCCCAAGTATTCTTCCTTGATTCTTTGCTCATTCTCCCCTGCAATTCATCACCGTGCATCGGGTTCCTCTTCTTATCGACGACGTTCGCGCATCCCGGCGTCAGGGTTTTCTCATTGTCGCTGAAACTTTCGTACAATGGCTCCGATTCCTTGTATTTGTTCTCCTTATCGAAACTGCAAGATTTATGGAGCTCAGGATCGTCCTTGTTCAGGGATCGCGGCTTGCTCTTGGAATACTCGTTGATCAGTGCTTCCTTGTCGACGTTAGCCATTATTTCGTCGAAGTTGTCGTGCATCATAGCCTCTCGTCTCTGTTCAGAATCTTTATTATCGTCGTTGGACTCGGTCACGAGCCTTTGTACGTCTCCTATCCTGCCCACTACCGAGCCAAAGTCCGGAGAATCGAAGTCGAACGCTCCTCTGTTCTGAGAAGAAGTTTCTTGCCTTTTCCCATCGGAGCTGGAACCAACGTCGATCGTAGATGGTTGTCTGTACAACGGGGTGTAGTCTCTGTTGGGTATCTTGGACGTTAACGAGTCTTTCTTCGCCTCGCTGGACGCGTGCATAAAAGCCGAGGAAGCACGAGTTTGCTCCACTTTTCCTTTCTTCGCGTGCCTATCGGTTACATTCAAGTCCTTGTACCAATTGCTCGCTATCGCGTTCAACTCCATATCGCAGTCGGAGTCCAAAGACAACGGCCGTTTCCGTTTGGTTCTCTGAGGCGCTGCGACCTGATCACTGTTTACTTCGTTGCCCAAGCAGACAAGTTCCAGAGAATCCATGCCTGAACCACGCAACGTCGGAATCCTCTTGAACGCCTTCTTCTCGTCCTTCTCCTGGCTCTCCCTGTTCTCAGTGTCCGTACCAGAGCTCAGCAACACCGTTTCCAAAGTCTTGGTGCTGGAAGTGGTCGAGTTGGAATGGAATTCTTTAGCCACCGTAACGTTCTTTGGCGTGGTGGTTCCGGTATCGATGATCTCCGGCCGTTTCATGTACGTGGCCTTCGGGAAGAAACTTTCGCCGGAATGGCAGGAGCCGCCATCTTGCAGATTTTCCGCGTCCATCGATTTCCTCTTTGTTCCTTCGAGCTTATCGCCGCCGTCCGCCCTTTTCCGCTTTTTATCCAACGCGGAAAACGAATCGGGCTGCGAAGTTTCGCGTACTTGCTGAGATTTGAGTATCAGAGCCCTCGGATGCACGCCCCTTATATCGGAGAAGTTGCTTCTCTTCGCGCTGGGAGCATCCATCTTGGATACTCGTGGATCGTCGAGCGAATCCAAGGAAAGAAACTTCAGCTGGGAGTCCTTCTTCGGCGATAACATCTTGATGGCGGTCTTGGGCGCTATCTTTTCAACAACCTCAAGCTTCTTTTCCTCGTTGTCGGCCAAGGTTGCGAAAAATACATCGTTGGACGCTCGAGACTGACTCTCGACTAGGTTAGCCAATACACCTGGCGGTTTCGACACGATATTCGATGGTCCAGGTTGAACGAACACAGAAGCTTCTTCCTCTGTTGGCGAAATACTCTCCATTTCATCCTGCGGCGTAACGTTCACCGAGATTTGCGTATCATTCCCGAAACGACACTTAGACACTAGTTTCTGAGTACTCAGGTCCTGCAATGCCGACGAAATGCACGGATTTTGCAACCTTAGCTTCGAATACTCCTGGTGAATCGACTTCGGCAGGATCGAGCCCAAATGCAAGAAAGTAGCGCATTTCTTACGGCGTTTGTAAACCTTGCCCAACTTTTTGAACGTAACGAAACGTTTGTTCTGTCTTCTGTCCTCTTTCTTGCTCCTATTCTCATTGGAACTCGTAGAGTACGCGTAACCAGCATCCGGTCTATTGCTGCCCTCGGATTTGTTCTTCGTCTCCGACGTTAATCTCGTCTTGGTGCTCTCGTCCTCATCTATTTCTCGACACAAGTTGCGTTTCACGGTCTCCAGCCGCGCTACGTCTTTCAATTTCCAAGACTCTTCCGATTTAGGGTCGGTGCTGCGTCGTTTCAGAGACAATCTGTTGCAGGTGGGCGTTTGCTTGATCACTTCCGTCCCTAAGAAGCTGTCCCCGCACAACAAATCTGGACTGGGGTTGTTTGATCGGACGAAAGCCTTCTCCATCGACATCTTCGGAGGCATCGTTCTGCTTTCGTATCTGTGATCCTCGTTGAGACCAGCGACTCCGATTATGTCCTTAATCTGACTATTGTTCAAGTCCATTATGTGCACGTGCTCGCCTTCTTTCAGTGCAATGAACGACGTCCTTTCAGCTTGGGTCTCTTGCATAGATTTGTCGTGTTTCTCTTTCGTGGGTGTTTGCTCGTTTGGCAGACACATCTCCATGCTTTCAGAAGGATTACCTTCCCCGTCCCTCTCTTTGTCTCTAATTGGTCCCGATTTGATGGCTTCCTTTTCAATTTCGTCGAGCGATCGCGAATATCTGTTGTTCTTGTTCTCGATGCTGACGTTCAAAGACCTCAGCTTCCTCGCTCGCTTCTTTTTCCGTAATTCTTTACCGCATCGCGCGACGCTGGACCAATTCTGCTTCACCGAGGGCAGCATGTCGCACGGCGAGGTCCTGTCGACATGCTGCCCTCGATAAAGCAGCACTGATTCGTTCATTGTTCTCTCCTGATCCTTGGTATCATCGTTCGATCTCGATGTACCTGGAAGTACTCTTCGATTCTCCGTCTTCGAATACGTTCGATGCATTTTAATAGCAGCCTTCTTCGTTCTGGAATTGCCGCTTTTGGTGTCGTCGAAATTGCATTCGTCGTGCATCGGTTGGGTTTTGTTAGGATCGTCCAACGGTTCGTCGTTTGGCAAAGATTCCAGCCAAGTTTGTACTTTGACGTCCATCGAGTTCTCCTCACTGCCGTTGGATTCGTCAGGAGGCAGAACAACGATGCCCGACAGGGCATATTTGTTCAGAAATTTCGTTATATTGCTGCCCTCGGTGCTGTTCTTCTTACTCTTGCTGTTTCTGGATACAATTTTACCTGTTTGCGCGCAACTTTTCGACCGAGAAGTACGCGGTGCTTTCAACGACGACTCGACGTACGAACAACTTGGCCCATAGTGCTCCTCTGTGTCGGGTTTATGGGGTTCCATGGGGTCCGACGAGCAGCTTTCCCGCGTGCTTTGTGGTCTTGCGGTGTGTAAAGATACTGTAACATGCATAGTCCATTGCTACGAGCACGCTGATAAAAACAGGTCGAACTTGATTCTTTCAAGATTCCAGATTTAAGCTTCTGGTATTGGGAGCAACGATGAATGCAGTGGAATTCTAATCATTTTTTAAACATCACAGATAAGTAAAATTTTAAAAGGAGGACCTGTTAAATGTCCTTCACGGAAGTTCGACCACGGAAACGGCGCATGCAAAAGTTAAGACCTCGTAAAACGTTGATGTTTTATATAGCTGTAGGAAGCAGCATGATCCCAAACAACGCTGGAACTTAAATTTTTTAAAGGCTTGGCTTCGCTCTGAGGAACGGATAGCTGACCTGAGCGAACATGATATCGCGACGAGCAGAGAATCGTATTTTAAGCTTCGTATTTCTTTTAGCAACAAAGATAAAGCGATAAGGCGTCAGCTATTTTTAACTGGTGATTCTACGTATTTTTCAATGCAGTGATCGAATCGATTGATAAAAGATGAAATAACTATGGGTGAATCGGTATTACTCACTATCGATGCCAGAGTCCAGTTTAACTGCTTCGATTAGTTCTTCTAATTTGTTGACGTACATTTCCATGCACTCGTCCTTCGAAATGCCACGACGCGGAAGATTGGTGTTGCACAGTGGGCAGAGCGCATTTTTGTTTTGCAATACCGTTTGGATACATTTACGACAAAATCGATGCCCACAACGAGTTCTCATGAGTTCGGATATAGTATAAAGACTGAAACAGAAGTCATATTTTCGCAATACGAGTTCACGTGCATTCGTATTTACTTGTAGAGAATTATCTGATTATGAGCAACAGTTAGAGGAAAATTTATACGGTTTATTTTAAATAAAAATTAAATCTGACAACTTTACAATTCAATAGTTTTGGTATTAAGTGTTCTTTTAAATAGATTAGTAATATTTCGCATGATAAGTATCATTTTTATACCGCTGTGGGATCGGGAAGATAATGACTCCGCTCTGTTCCGTTCCGCACAATTTTATTGTTGCTGTCGTACAACGACGTGACTCGTGGTGCGGGTTACGCTCGACTCTCTGGTACGATCATCGCCACCGTACCAAGAGGCCTTCAAAAACAAAAGACGGTCAGAGACGACGACAACGGCTTTTCGGCTCACGCGGCTCTGGTCGTCTCGTGTGCAACCATCGTCTCGTGTGCAACCATCGTCTCGTGTGCAACCATACATTGTAGCGGCTTCGAACGGCTAAGGCGTATGTGGTGCCTTGGCCGCCACACTACCCCCCTGCCAGTAATTGGCACAATTACGAAAAATTGACCGACTACATTACCACTACCATTTACTCTATTATATAAAATACGTTATCCTAACTAAGATTTACATTACAGTATTTGAACAGAGTTGAAAAAAAAAGGAATTTACATGGAGTTTAATATATAATACGTAATACCTAAAAATACATGAAAGTACATAAAAGTGATGGAAAAAAATAAATGGTATATGATACTTATTATAATAATGCGCAAGCCTTAAGTACTACCGCGTAATTTGAAATCGCTCGGGAAAACGTACGCGTCTACCTGAACGCGTGACACGTTGCTGTATAACCGGCGCATTGTCAGGTACGTTTGTTTGTGTGACCGGCTGATTTTCTATGCTCACGGGATCCGGTCTGTTTTCTGCTAGCATATAAGCAGGCTTTAGCCTTTCAATTGATATATTTATTTCCTTACCTCTAATGTTTATTGTAAATGTTTTTTCGCCTCGGCGCACTACGGCGTATGGACCTTCATAAGCGGGTTGTAAAATAGTTTTGGCTGAATCTGTTCGGATGAAAACATGTGTTGAACTGCTAAGATCTTTGAAAACGAATGTACGATTAACGGAATGGCGTGATGCATTAGAGGGACTCAATTTAGAAAAATGGTTGCGTAGTCTATTAGTAAAATCGGAAGCATTTTCTGTGCCTTCCGCTGAATGCGAAGACAAGAACTCTCCCGGTAATCTTAATGGCTCGCCATAAACTAATTCCGCTGAGGTAGCGCCGAGGTCTTCTTTCCAGGCGGAACGAATACCGAGTAGAACCGTCGGAAGTATTTCTGTCCACTTGTCGGATCCGTGGCACCTTATAGCCGACTTGAGCTGTCGGTGAAAACGCTCTACCATCCCATTGGCCGCTGGGTGATACGCCGTTGTGCGAAGGCGTGTGGATCCAATTAAATTGTTCAGCGCAAAAAATAATTTGGATTCGAATTGCCTACCCTGATCGGTGGTAATCCGTACGGGAGCACCAAACCGCGCTACCCAACCGTCATAAAAGGTTCGAGCTACGGTTTGGGCCTCCTGATCGACCATGGGGAAGGCTTCCGGCCACCGCGTATATCTGTCTACACAGGTCAGACAATACCTGAAACCTTCGGACACCGGTAAAATTACTATGTCTAAATGAATGTGTTCGAATCGCGCAGAAGGTTTAACAAATGTAGCCAATGGTGCAGTCACATGACGGGAAATTTTTGATCTTTGGCACGGTATACAGCAACGTGTCCACGTGCGAACATCTCTTTTAATCGACGGCCAAACATAACGTTGCGTTATGAGCTTGATCGTCGCGTTAATACCTGGATGTGATAATACATGTAACATATTAAAAATTGCACGTCGGAAAGGAGGGGTGACATAAGGTCTTACATTCTTAGTCGAAATATCGCAAAAAATTTCGGAAGACGTGCCAGGCAACGAGACTTTGCGTAATTGCAGGCTAGATTCGCTATTCAACAACCGCTGCAACTCCTCATCCTGGGCTTGCGATTTTGCCAATTCTTCGAAATTAATCGAGTGGTTAACCGTTTCCACTCTGGACAGTGCATCGGCAACGACGTTGTCTTTACCGGAAATATGTTGAATATCTGTAGAGAATTGCGCAATGTAATCTAGGTATCGGAATTGTCGAGGAGAGCATTTATCTAATTTCTGTTTGAAAGCGAAAGTTATGGGTTTATGGTCTGTAAAAATCGTGAAATGTCTGCCTTCGAGCATATGTTTGAAATGTTTTATTGCTAAATAGATAGAAAGTAGTTCCCGGTCGTAAGCTGAATACTTCTTTTCGGCAGATCCTAATTTCTTAGAAAAGAATGCTAATGGTTGTCGTTCGTTGCCGACGCACTGATGTAAAACAGCTCCTACGGTGTAATCAGAAGCATCGCAGGTAACCGACAATGGAGCGTTGACCGCAGGATGAGAAAGCAGGGTTGCGTTTGCTAAACTATTTTTGGTATTTTCGAAAGCCTGACGCGCTTCCGAAGTCCAGGCTATCGGGGTCTTGCCCTTTAAATTGCCGGCTAAAAGGTCGTTCAAGGGTGCTTGAAAGCGAGCGGCATCTGGGATAAAACGGCGGTAAAAATTAAGCATTCCCAAGTACTGCCTCAAATCCTTCGCGTTTTTCGGAAGGGGAAATGACTTTATGGCTTGTACCTTGCCGGGCAAAGGTTGAGTGCCGCTTTCATTTACCCGATAGCCTAGAAATTTAACTTCTTCCTGTCCGAACGTGCATTTATTCGGATTAACAACAATGCCATAATCTTTTAATCGTTTAAATAATAATTCTAAATGGCGCAGGTGATCGGCTTGGGATTCTGAGGCGACCAAAATGTCGTCTATATACGCGTAACAAAAATCGAAACCGCGTAAAATTTCGTCGATAAAGCGCTGAAATGTTTGCGCGGCATTTCGTAACCCGAACGACATGTACGGGAATTCAAAAAGCCCGAACGGCGTTGTAATGGCCGTTTTTCCGACGTCTTCCGATGCAACCGGAATCTGATTATAAGCTCGGACGAGATCTATTGTGGAAAATACCTTTTTGCCACTCAGTTGTTGCGCAAAATCCTCAATGTGACGCACGGGGTATCGGTCGGGAATTGTCCGTGCGTTTAACGCTCTATAGTCACCGCAAGGCCTCCAAGCTTCTTCGCCCTTCTTCGGAACCATATGAAGGGGTGCTGACCACGCGCTCTTCGAAGGACAAGCGATGCCCATCTTCACCATCGCGTCGAACTCCTTCTGGGCAGCCCTGAGCCGGTCCGGTGCAAGCCGCCGAGGCTTGCTGGAAACGGGTGGTCCAGGGGTTGTCTCGATGTAATGCACCGTTTGGTGCGTAGTCCTCATCGGGGTGCCGCTAGGCCGTGTAAGTTCCGGCATCTGCATCAGGAGCTGGTGGTAAACGGTAGTCCCTGCTACTGTCTTCACCGACGGCGTTTCATCCTCGGCTCGTGTTCCGCGGACCGTTAACGACGTGGTCCGATCGACGAGGCGACGATTGCGGATGTCCACCATAAGATCGAAGTGATCGAGAAAGTCTACCCCGATTATGGGTTTTGTAACATCCGCAACCACGAATCGCCACACGAAATCCCGTCGTAGGCCGAGGTGCAGGTTTAACGACACTGTCCCGTAGGTGTTAATTACACTCCCATTCGCCGCCGCCAGCTGGTACTCCGATCTTTCTCGCAATCCGCCTAGCAGGCGGCGCGGAAAAACGCACAAATCGGCCCCGGTATCCACTAAAAATTCCGTCTTCGAGCTGTTGTCTAAGATGAAGAGGCGGCGTGATGCTGGATTTGTGTCGCTGGCCGCCATCAACGACTCCCTAGGTCGTTTCCCTGATCCGTGGCGTTCCAATTGCACGGTGCAACGCACCTCTGCGCGGCCGGACCGAACCGCCAATGGTACCAGCATTTCCCTTGATGGTCCATTTGTCCTCCCGCGGGCCGCTCTCGCGATCGCGATAGAGATCGTCTGCGGTAGCGCGAGTTTGGATGATTTCGGTGGGTCCACCTGCGACGGGAAGATTGCCCCTGGTCCACCAAGGATTCACGGATGGCAGAAATTTCCTGCCTCAAGGAAAGAGCCAATTGCGACATCTTAATGTTTAACATGGCCTCGATGCTCGGGCCCGGCGGGGGTATTTGGCAGGATGCAGATACGCCCGTAGTCGCGGCCTCCGTGACGTGTACCCGCGGTGTCATCGTATCCGCGACAGCGTCTGCCAACTCTGCTACCTTATCCAGCGGGGTGTCCCGCTGCGTGGCTAAAATCACCTGCATATTAGCAGGTAGCCGGCCCATCCAAAGCGTCCGCAATACACCGTCCGAAAAAGCCGTACCGGCCAATCCGCGCAGGTGACGAAGAAATTGGGACGGTTTTCTGTCCCCGATTTCCTCGTGTTCCAATAACCGTCGCGTTTTCTGTTCCTGCGAAGCACTAAGCCGGCGAATAAACTCATTTTTGAGCGTCGTGTACGGATCCGTGGCCGGAGGATTCATGATAATGTCTCTTACTTCCGCGGCGTGTCGCGCACTTAACGCGCCGAGAATGTACCCGAATTTCGTGGTCTCCGACGTTACATTGGATACCTCAAAACTTCTCTCTACCATCGAAAACCACATCTCCGGGTCTCCCGGACAAAACTCGGGTATTCGTACAGCGACGCGATCAACTGCCAACGGCACACTCCCGGATGTCCCGCGTTAACGGTAGGGTCAGTCATTTTACCAGTCTTGGTCACAAAAGATTAATTTCACCGCACACACACACCGCGCCTACTATTTGTCAGACCGTGTCCTTTCCTTATGTTCTTAACACTATACACTTATTTCTCTACACTAACTAATATTGTCCGTATACAAAAAATGTCCAAATTTTCTTAAAAAAACTTTACTTGCGCGGCGAGATCACGTCGGGGTCACCAATGTGGGATCGGGAAGATAATGACTCCGCTCTGTTCCGTTCCGCACAATTTTATTGTTGCTGTCGTACAACGACGTGACTCGTGGTGCGGGTTACGCTCGACTCTCTGGTACGATCATCGCCACCGTACCAAGAGGCCTTCAAAAACAAAAGACGGTCAGAGACGACGACAACGGCTTTTCGGCTCACGCGGCTCTGGTCGTCTCGTGTGCAACCATCGTCTCGTGTGCAACCATCGTCTCGTGTGCAACCATACATTGTAGCGGCTTCGAACGGCTAAGGCGTATGTGGTGCCTTGGCCGCCACACCGCTAATATTACTACTACAAGAATAATAAATTAACAAATAGGGATCAAGGTTTATTACATCGATTAAATAATCAACACACAAATATTTAAATTCTTTTTACTAAAGTACTGCAGTAATACGGCGGTAACATTATCTTTACAATATAAAAATCCTAGCTATAGTATGAATTCTCATGCGTATCGCTACACAGATATAAATAACATGTATGCGTACACATGGTAAAGAAAAAGTTTAATTTAAGGTAGTGCATACTACTTTAACGTTCATACTAGAACATCAAGATTCCACACCTTAAGATAGATAAATAATAAATACTCTAAGATGCTACTTGTAATATACATGTAAAGGAAATAATGTCTTACATAAATTAAATACATGGTTAAATTCATTATACTCAACTACCAATACAAAGTAATATATTAATCTTCTCATATAAATAATTACAACTGTATTCATAGTAATACGTATAATAACTAATTTTAAAGTAACATGTAATTTGTGCAAGTCATACATAACAATGTACAATTTGCAAATAGAACAAAAGAAAGTATTTAATGAATTGCTTAAATTAATATAGTTATTTTATAATATGTACATTACAGAATATTTGAAATGATTCTAAACATAACCAAACATAACCTATTTCAAGTTATTCTACACCACAAGTGAAAAAAATCACGTACTGTAATTTATTGATTAATGTATAGCGTGTTATGTTTCTTTGAATGAATCTTTATAAATCAATCATGAACTTACCAAATTGTACATTGTAAGCATTGTTGCATATTTCGTATTACTTCTGACAGTTTGTCAGCAGTAGCGAACACTTGTTCCATTTTCGTTTTGTATCTTCAGAACGTCACATCACAAATGTTTCTTGTAATTTTATTATATTTGCTTTATTAATATATCACAATTGCACCCTGACTGAATCACTACGTAATTCACCATACTTGTAAGTGCGCGCACGAGGCGATTACTGATCAGCTCAGGCTCAGAGACGCCAGACGGAGCCCCGGGTGCATCAAGGACGCCTCATTCCATTTTTTCACACTATGCCAGATCACGCGTACGTGAGCTCGTAGAGTTTCGGAGAGTCGACAAAGGCAAACTAACACATGTCCTCTTTTTTGATTCTCCGAAGCTGCTCGAAATAATTTCGGACCGTCTCATGAGTGTCGAGACCGAAAGGCTCACATAAAATGAGGTCATTTCCAAGAAATCCCAACAATTTAACAAATTTAAAAAAAAATTTTAAACGGCCCCACCCCCCTGTCTATTCTGGTAGCTGCGAATTTAGAAGCGGCGGGAGACTTAAAATCTTTCTGAGGAGCTTAGAAATTTTTCTGGAAGAGCGTCGCAGTCTCCCCATTTCTCCTGATAGCCGCTAACCGCCAAGTGTCTCTGTTGGCCGTGGGAACTTAGAAATTTTTCTGGAAGAGCATCGCAAAATTTTTGCAACACTGACTAATCAACTTTTTATTGACGGGATACCATAGAACAAGAAGTGATCGAGTGCTTTAGAAGTCTTGCAAATCAAATTACTTTCCACGGATTTAGCCTTCGTAGAATATTTTGAGTGCACAGGAATTAATCACGGAATAATAAATTACGGTACTTTGAATTTTGTATGACGAAGAAACTTTCGATACTCTACAAGTTTAGGATTTTAGTGGCTCTTGATATTGTGGCTAACAATTAATCTTATGTCTAATGGGTCGTGATTCACTAACCACCAGTGTTTCGGCTTTACAGAAATTTCCACACTAATGATTAAATCGGCGCCATCGAGCACAATCAGCAGACAGGAAAGACGATAGTGCAGCAGAACATGACTCTCACCGAAACGACCTGTTGTTGACGTTATGGGGTGGATCTTTCTTGCTAGTATTTTACTCCTCTCCTTATGCGGTAAGTTTTGATCACTCAACTCCCGAATATCCCATGCTATCGTAAAACAAGCAATGGGAAAATTACTATGTTATCAGTTCAAAATTGAAACATCATGCTTAAAACGCCACAAAACAAATATCGATCCAAAAAACTTTGTGTCTTTTCGAGGTGAAAATGATTTTCGTTTCTTTTTCTTTGAGACTAATTTTAGTTAGTACAGTTGTGAATTTATTATACTTTGGGTAAGGAAGACATTAGCACCCACTCATGCTATATGTTTCGCTCACAATAACTCTTCTACATTTGGAAAAACTGTTTCGAGCTAAAATATTTTCCTTGCAAATAACGTTCGGTGATAAATAAATTATCGTTTCGTTTTTAGTAATCCATTTTCTAAAAGTAGAAGAATTATTTCGATGGCTTGTTTTAAGTGCTTTACCCTGTATAAACCATGATGTTGTATTATGTATGTCTATATTTTCCCCCCACCCAATTTCTTTTATTTCTTGACGATTATGCAAGTTTATTTCCGGCTTCACGTAACTATTTCGAGTCGTAATAGTACCTTTATCTATAGAGGTATTAGCGTTTATATTCCAATAGTAGAATTTGAGAATTATATTTTCGACAAGAAATTATGTTCCATTAGATAGTACATATTTTCAGTAGAAAAACGACAGGCGTTGCAGATTTAGTTTTCTTTTTCTATTATATACCGATCCGGTATGATAAAATTAATGTTTTTGTGTGACCATCAACAGGTATACATTAAAGGTGCTGTGAAAATTTCAGTGACATGTGCAAAGTTCCGGGTGAAATTAATTTCATATCTATAACACTGCAAAATAGTTTTTTATCTTAGCGGTTCTGCATGCAAATAAACTGGCACTGAGAGATTTAACATCCGGTAAATTTATTCAATGATTATGCTTATCGGCGAAGGAAATGTCGCATAATATTCTTTTCGCATGGAAATTCGAAGTACGTTCAGCAACAGATATTTCTTTATTGAATAAGTTTGTCAGAAATAAATCGACTGCAGTCGCAGCGATCAAAGAAGCACTATCCACCATCCACAAAACTATTCTTCTTGCCAGCAAAACCTAGAATCGTGTATACATCTAACGATACTTGATGACTGGTAATACAAAATTATTTGGTTCGCAAAAATTTATGAAAAATTGACAATTGAGTCTGTATCTAAATTATTTTTAGCACGTGAAATCATCACAGTTTTAAATCGTTAGTTGTATAAACGTTCATCATCGATCTCGTTCAACCTCAGCTCTCTTTACCGACTTCCTAGTGTCACACGATACCATTAAACTGAAAACCACGAGCTATACTATAGTAAGGGCAGAAGATCTTAGCCACTCAAGATCAATATCCCCGCCGTTTCGCGATCGGTGATAACTTCTATCGTTTGGAGGACGTTTTAAGCAACCACAAAAAAAAGAAATACAGTTCTTTATTTCGGTACTAGCATTGTGTACTGAACAATTGTCACGCGAAGCACAATTGTTTGCGCCCGAGAGACACACTGGGTGGTGCGAAACTTCAACCGAAGCTTCCGATTAGTAGAATAACATTGGTGGCTCCGTCGATTCACAGTCGAAACGCCATACGGGCTTCCATAGCGCAAGTTTCGCGTCACCGAGTTATATCCCCTGGGCGCAAATATTTCAGCTTCCCTCAGGGCACGTACACGCTTAGCGAAACTTTCTGTCGAACTCCGTAAACATCGGAGTTTTGGCCGCATTCTTATCTATCCGGCGAATATCGAATAACGTTTAATCATAATCCAAAATGTTCTCATGTCAGATCTTTCGTCTGTAATAAAAAATTGATCTAAAAACGATTTCGATTAACACCTAGATTCGCCTCTGGATAAGAAGTACGCGCGAATCGATGGTCGCGAGCATGTAGCGTTGAACGAAAGGGGCGTGGCGCTGTGGGTGGTGGAGGATGATGACCTTGAGCGGGCAAGATTGCTCGCCGTGACTATAGAACGGTCCGGCCAATAATAATTTGATCGGTGTCCATTGCTTTTTCACGCTGCGTTGGATAAAAAAAAAAGCGGCGGGATTGCCGTTGCCACAGGGCGGTGGTGGGGCGGGGGGTCATGGACAGCCGCAGGCTGGCTCGCCGAGCACCTCAGGCCCCGGCGGTGGCACAGCGGGCAGCGGCGCGAGCAGCACCCTCGGCGCTGCTGGCGGCGGTGCCTCTGGCTCTGGCATCGGCGCCTCCGGTGGAGTTGGGGTTGGTCTCGGTGTTTCTGGGGGAACTACCGGCGGTGGAGCCGGTGGTGGTGCCGCAGGTGGCGGCGGAGGTCGGTCCGCTGGACCGGCTCGTCGGGGCCGAGGGTGGCGCGACTGGCGCCGCGGCGACCCCACCCTTATCAAGGGACTCTGGCAGTCGAAGGGACCTCTAGGTAAATCCTACACTCTATATCGTTCTTTGCACGTCCCTACACGGTGCTTGGGAATCGTCGAAACGCGAATATTTATCATTTGAAATTTATGACTTTCGCGGCCTAAGTCTATTCTCGAGGTCAAGTATAATATTTGCTCTTTAATCCCTTGATGTACAATTCATAAGGTGGTCTTCTACTGTAAACCGCCAAAAAATTCGATTTTTTTTCGCATCGTCTTAAAGAATATAGTCTTAGAAATATGCGTGCAAAAGCATTCACTGCATTCCTAAAGTTAACGAAGGTATACGTATATTGCTCGGTCGAACGACTGAGGACCGAGGAGTTACAAGGAACGGCTACGAAAAAGAATAGATTTCTTTAAGAATACCTCGTGAATGTAAAAATGTGTTGATTTTAATATATAAAACTTGGTGACCAGTAACCTTATGATTATGAAACTTGACATCAAGAATTGTAACTGCAAGGAGTTAAAGATCAAACTGCAATTGTAAGTTGGGTCCTCTAAGTAATTTTTTTCTCAAGAAACTATAGGATTTTTTAACGTAGTTCAGTCACTCATTGATGAATACACGTTCTGAGAGTGCTCACAAGTTTTTTCAATATGAAATAATAATTGTAAAAGTTACTGTACCACATGTACTGTGCGTTCGCGAGAAGTTGGCTGCTGTTGGCCGGAACGATGATGTGAAAGTCGCGATAGGCGGAGCAAGTGTAGTGCCGCCCTCACTAGCCAACTTCTTGCGGTCACACTCTTACAATCTCTGAGGTGGTTGCTCTAAAACAAGCATTCTTTCTTGAATTCAGAGCTCTCTCATAACATTTTACGAGATCAAACACTTCTAATTTAGTTCATACATTCGAGAATATATGATCAACGAAGTTGAAAATTGGATTTCAGCGTTTCGACGGTTTCCTAACATTGTGCATTGATTGACTCGATCGTGCCTCGCTTGGAATTTATATTTGCTGCATTTCACGTTCGTGAACTGGTTTGGTAGTGTTCTCCGTCTGTTTGTTGCACACCCTAAACAACGTCTTGCATGTGTTATCCGTGAATTTAACCCTTTAAGTTTCATTTCTACTCTTTGTTAAGTCCTATAGTTTGTTTGTCGTATCATAGATATTACAAAATAATCGTTTCAGACATTTTCCAAAGGGGTGAACGTTGTTAACAAAATTAATAACACGTTTCCTGTATTTCTTCGCGCGAAGATCCATCAGATAGGTATTTTAGAAATCAATAAACGAGATATCATCGCGGGGAACGTTATAGAAGCAGTTTCACGATGCGTCGCGGGGGAAACTTCTCAGGTTTATGGCTTTACTTTCGAAACAGCTGCCCCCTGGATGGACTAATCTCGAAGAAACTAGTCCGCATGATATTAGGGAAACGTGTCGATGTCGTAACGAGAAAAACTTAGGCGAATACAGGATTTCGGTTCTAATATTCGATACGATATTCTCTTTTAACGTTTGACGATTGCTCTGTTCCGTGCTGCTCGACGCGGGATTCTTTTTCAATAAAAATCTAACGGAAATTAAGTTGATTGCTCAGCCTCGGTTCGCTTTTTGCATCGAATTAGCTTCAACTTGACCGTAAATCGAATATAATAGAAAAGAGCGACGTGAAAAATTCATGAAACGAACGAACAGTACGAGTCCGCGTCCCTTTGCTCGCAGTCTCTGCATCGAGATTCCGATTTTACTTTCAAATTCGAGGGTAGATCGGCGCAATCTTAGATTCTACGTTGAATACTGTATTTCATTACGATTTAAAATTCGTTCTATGCTCCTCGACGACGAAAATAGAGCGCTAGAGACATCCGCGACGAGTTACATTAGTATCGCTGTCTCCTTTAGGATTTAACAACCATACCGTGGAAGTCGTCATTTTTTAAACGCTCTCACTTTGTGTTTACATCGTGTTCAAGGGCTGAAACGGATCTGCAAACGTTATTCAAACATTTGGACAATGTCTTACATTCGATAGAGATTGGCAAAATTTTAAATAATATTATAATCATTCTTAACACGATTTTAAGAGGTTGTAAACATAATGGTAGTAGAACTGGGGAATGCGTAATTTAACCCTTCGACTACTAAAAGTACCAATAGGCGCTCAGTCAGTTGAGTGCGTGCGTCAAACGCCTATGAGCGTTCAATCTGTGCGTTGCTCAAGGCGTGAAAATCTGCAGTAGTCAAGGGGTTAAAGAATCGTTTGTCCATCTCATTTCCAAGCATGCGATGCACGCGTCTGCATGATTTAGTGGACGTTCGTGTGAGGCAGAGAGGAAGAGATTAGCAGAAAACCACCCCCTCCATGCAGCTTCTTTAGGAAAGGCGATGGCGTATATCATCTTAGCGCTAGTGATCGGTATCGTCACCGTGGTGGTCGGCTGTTGGCTGTCGGACAACTGTTGGGCACCTGAGCCCGAAGGAGTGGTCACTCTCGCATAGCCTAGTGCAGACTTCCGTTCGTCCAGGCGATAACAACTAGCGCGCCGGCCCTCCTACAGGAGCTTTCAGGACATCGGCCAGTCGGAACGGCAGAACGTCGCTGGGAATCAGCGGCCGTTCCTCGATATTAACGACAACCACACGCTACTACCAATATGACGCCTCGCATGACGCGCGAAATCCTCATCGCGTACCTTGGGAACGCCACGCGTTCCCGTCCCTCCGTTTGCACGGTATCGTACAACATCGCCAGAGCGTAAAGCACGAAAGCGTTCATCGAGATATCGACATATCCGACGCTGGGAGCCCGATTCGAACGCGTCGCGAACCTCCGGGACGCCCAGCGATGATTAACACGTTCACAGTCCCGTGACTCGTATACGGGCCACACCGACGCGCCGTACAGGGGAGACGGACAGTGAACCTGTTGACCGACGAAAGGATCCGAGAGCCGTAATTAGCGAAATTGGAAACGCGCCTGTACTCGCGTTCGGTTCCCAGCCATCCGTGATTCCCGCTGGCGGTCCAGGGACTCTCGCGCCGAATTCAAGGAGCGTCTGCGACTCTAATTAATTTACAGAAACAAAAGATTGCGTAATATTTGTCGACGTGTGGACGGGAAGGGTGAATTTTTACAGATACGACACCGTCTCGCTGTATTCGAGAGAAATTGTATCGTCGTGGATAGATCGCTCAGCGGCCATATTGTTTCGAGGCTGCGTAGGTTGTTCGGAGACGTAGCTCAACGGATTCAATAAGAGGTTCGAGACGGTCTTTGTCATCCTCCCACGGTGCTGTTTATTTTACACTTAATTATTCACCCGCAAACCACCACATCGAAAGCTCTTATTGAACTTGTTGAGCCATCTTCACGCGGGGTTTGAGAGAGTTGTATTATTTTCTGACGAGTCAATGGAACGCTGGTCGGAATTAGCAAGATCTCCTCCGCATCGAGGTCTGCAGAGGACGCAAAAAAAAGCGCGCGCGCGGGAAATTCAAACGTCTAATCTAATCTCTGTGTTTACACGGTCCGATTTACGTCGATCGTCGATGTTATAACAACCAGGAGCGTTTTGGTGCCGTGTAAATAGTATTTTACGATGTTGCAACAACGAAGTGACGTAAAGCACACGTGTAAACAGTCCTGGAAAGTATATTTACACGGTAATCACTATTTTACTAAGATCGCGATATAAACGTCGTCGAAGTTATAACATCGACGTAGCAAGTCTTACGATAAAAAAGCGTCAGGGGTTATCGCATCGATACAAAAGCAATTTCATCGATTACGTTTACACGGTACTGTTTACATCTTCGTAAACGATACGTGTCAGTAAAGTCGTTCGATGGAGCGGCCGATTCGATCACCGTGTCTACATGTTTGTAGCAACTGGAAATTGTGTAAACGACGGCGCGGTTTACATCGATGCTGTAATTACCAACGCGAGGCGTCGTGTAAACGTTATTTCGCAGCGAATTTACGATTTTCGATGCTCAGAGTCGCTCGACGAAGACGTTTTAGGTTGCTATATCGACTTGAAAGAGACGCGAAAACGATCGTATCGACGTTCACGGGCGTCCATCGTGCTGGAACGAGGTGAACTCCAGTTTCGGTGTTAGCCAGTAAGCGGAACACAGAGTACACGCGCGATTCGCCCTCCGTCTTGGTCACCAGCTAGGAATTTATGGACCGCAGCACAGCTCTGACGCTACCGGACGAAACACAACGCGAAGGTAACGGGCGCGAAGGATCGAACTTCACTTATGTTAGCCCACAACCTCCCCACCCCATCACCCCTCGAAATTGTACGAAATGAGGTGTACAGAAGTAAACGATTTTTTAAAGACACATCATCGGGAACGTTTTTATTCTGTCTTACGGCGAGAAAACACGAGACATGTACTCTGTGGCGTGGCAGTGGGTTGGGGTGCCTTTTATTTCAAAATAAAACGATCATCTTTTCGTTTGCTAAATTATTTTCCAATTTCTAATCGTTGATTGAACGATCGTTGGAGCAAACGTGAAGTTTCCAGAGATTTTCCCGCGAACTTTCGCGAAACGACGGAGGTATTCATGAATTCCTCGTGGTCGCCGCGAAGACCATTTTCTTTTTCATCCTTTCGAGCGTCCATTGTAACGCGTTGCACCGTAGACCAAGAATTCACGATCGCTAAGGCTGCATTATGCACGATTGCGGAGCTTCGAGAGTTGTCACAGCCCACTGCCATATTCCCGTACTTCAACGCACACACACACAGACACACATACACACAGACACAGAGTGGTGCGCAAAAGTTTCCGGACAGTTGGTTCGCGAGGGGAGAGCTAATACCTGTAGACGCACAGGGTGAGTCAGAAGCGACGTCAGGAAGCTTATAAATGTTTCCAGCTTTCGTTTCTACGATGCGGCCAGTTCGAGTACGTGGCTCATATTACCCCAGAGAATCCAACCAGAGTTCTATTCTAGCTCGAATAATGATTTCCTTCTCTGGTACGAGCCTCGAACTTGACGAACGCCACTTTTGCATCACTTTGTACTTCTAAGTTTAGAAGAGTTTTGAACTCGCGCCCGTCAGGGACGCAATCCGTGTACAAGCTCAAGATTAAACTAATTAATTCTGCAAGATAATACTAAAGCTCTAAGAAAATATTCCACGCGTAAATATTAGCTCGTGCAACAACGGAATTTTAATGTTTGCGAATCTTTTGAACTTTCGCGGTTGCAAAATCCTTTCGAGTTTTGACCCTGACGCACGTGTTTTCGCGTTCCTCGACATCCCGGCGTTATTAAAAATTGATTCAAGCTGTCCCCTCCAGCTTTGGCGCATCACTGGGCAAGTGAAATGAAATAGTGACGCTTGTTCGAGGCGAACGTTGATTACCCAACAGCAGCCGTTTGCCGCTGGTCGTCAGTAACGATGCTTGATCATCAGCGTCGGTGCCGAGCAGGTGTAAAGAACCGCCACTTGTTTGTAATTTTGTAAGTTTTATAATACATTACGCTTTATACAATTGAAACGCCTCTTGATAATCAATCGTACGTCGTCGCCTCGCATTTGAAACTCGATCTTCGATCGGCGCCCAACCGATGGAAACCGTCGTAGTTTCTCCATTGCGCTCGTAACAGCGAATTAACCGTGACAAATTCATACACCTGCGTCACCCTGTACATACCATTCGCGTGGCACCATGAAGCCTCGATCGATCGGATTTACGGTGTTTCTGTGGTTCGATACACCTTTTCGACGCCCCCGCGCTCGGGCCAGAGGCTGCGTCGAATTTATCGCTGTTTCTAAAATTCCATTTCGTACACAATTAACGAGCTCCCGAATTTACGACGTCGTCGTTAAATTCATATCAATTTTGTACGTCCAGATTCACCAACCAAAGCTCGATTGTCGAAAATTGATCAACGATATCCGAAAATACCCTTTACTCAAATTAATTCGATATTAATATGATTTAAAGCTGGTTGTTTAAAATCTGGTATCTCTGTCGGAAAATTATACTCGAACAAAAATATACGCCTGTAAAAGGATTCAAATTTCACGATTCGTAGTCGAGATAAACGTATCTGTTCCCGTCTTGCTCGTATCTCTGTTTTATTCAATCAGATGCCTGCGAGTTATTCACTGGGGAGTTTACAAAGGTTTCAACAGCGGGGACAGGAGTTTTATTTTTCGATGGTTGGCTGTAAAGCGAAGTTTAACTTGGCGCGGATCCTCTGAAACGACCTTACGCGAGAGTATTAACTCGTTGCACACGGGGTCGCGGGGGCGTAGGTCGCATAATGAACTCCGACGCGTCGACGTGCAAAGGGCTGAAACCACCGTGGTCCCTTTTGTATTTTCAAAATCGAGGTTTCATGGCGGCGGGCCATTTCAAGTAGATCGATAATCGCACAGAGAATGAAGGAAACCTTCTTTTATTTTTATTCTTCGAACGTTTTACTTAAACAGCTTTTTGTTTTGTTCCTGGCGTTACGATTCGTTTAGCCGAAATCCCAGTTAGCAGTCTCGAACATTTTCCACGGACAACGCGTTTCGGAATTATTTAATTCCTGACAACGTACCCCCTCCTCCAAGCTTCTTTTTTATAATTTTAAGGCGCATATTTGTGTCTCCGAGCGATTAATAAATTTGTCAAACCACTCTAGTATCCGCCATTTAAATCACAATCGTTTCACGAGTACGACGATCCGTTTAGAAATTTATTTACCCCCCTCTCCAGTAACGGAAAGAATCTATTCTTCGACGTGTAGTTGCATCCACAGGAAACATAAATCAGTTCCGCTTTCGGAGAAAGAACGGAACGGTTTTTATTAATAAATCAAAGATTTTTATCTCACCAGGTATTACTCATAGAGGACATTTTAAAATTTTTGCGTTCTTTATGGGCTCCTACTCGCGAAAAATATTGTCGGATTTATTACCCGCGGCGTTTCTTTGCCGTAATTGAAAACTTATACAGGGTGTTCGGCCACCCTTGAGAAAAATTTCAATGGGAGATACTAGAGGCCAAAATAAGACGAAAATCAAGAATAACAACTTCTTGATTGAGGCTTCGTTAAAAAGTTATTAACGTTGAAAGATCCACCCGTACTGAATTTTCTTCTAGAGAGTGGATAGAATTTCGGGGGTAGGTTCACCAACAATTATTGTAATTGGCCCCCGCAACCGAAAATAATTTTTCCAGAACGATTTGAAATTTTTTTTCGCCGAAAAATTTAGGCACTACCTCCTATCGATTTTCCTTAAAAATTCGTTTTTCATATTTAATAAATTTGTTAGACACTGTATGGAAAAGTTGTCTAATACTTTTTGTAGATACCCATGGGCTCTGCTTCAGAAAAAAATGTCAAAGCGTTACCTTTACTATTGTAGGAGTTATGGCCGTTTAAAAATTGGATATGTTTTAGAGGGGGTTTCTCACTTTACGGCGTCAAGGAACACCTTTTTCAATATTGTTCGAATTTCTACATATTCTCCACTGAAATACGCGTTGTTTGCATTTCGAAAAATTAAAATCCTCCAATCCGTTCAGGAGTTATGACATTTTAAAGATTCCAGGGAAGCATTTCTGGCCTTACATTAGATTTTCGGTAAAGAATTTTTTTCTCGAAAGTGCGTAAGATTTCAGGATATGTCTATTCACCAAAA